TCTGTCTTTGTCAGATGACGTGAGAGTACGAAGGCAGAATCGACCACGACGACCTCGACACATCGTTGAGCCACGTCCTCACTCTGCTGCTGCTGTTGATGCTGTTGTTGTTGTTGTTGTTTTTGTGTTGTTTTCGTTGTGTTGTTGTTTTCGTTGTGTTGTTGTTTTCGTTGTGTTGTTGTTGTGTTGTTGAGGCTGAAGGTTATTTTCAGTCTGTTTCATTGTTTTTGTTTTTGTGCATCACAACCTACAAACTGCTGCTTGTTGGTCAGAGTCACTCAGCTGAAATAAAAGATAAAAACACAAGTGTCAAAACCTTCAAGACCAAACTACACCTGGGATCAATCCCTGCCTCCTCCATGTTAGCAGCTGGGACAGGAACCAGACCAAAGAAATCTAAGTAGAGGTGAAATTAAAGATTGTGCGTAGTTTCTTCATATCTGAGGTAGTTTGGCTTCATGTCTGGATAGAGGAAGGAAGTTGAGACGTTTCTCACTTAATTTTTTGTTGGAGCATCGTTGAGGATAAGTTGATCATCGATGAGGTTTGTTATGAAGATGAACTCTGCTTTGTTTTAAATCCTGATACACATGTTCTGTCCTCCGATCTGTCTCAGGATGTTGATTCAACAAATGTAATACTCAGATGATGAATGTGTCGTTTACTGCACCAGTGGATTTTCACAGAGACGTTGTGTTTCTCCTGCAGGAGTTTGATCCAGAGGAGTTCTACCACTTGTTGGAAGCAGCAGAGGGTCATGCCAAGGAAGGTCAGGGCATCAAGTCCGACATCCCCAGATACATCATCAGCCAGCTGGGCCTCACCAGGGACCCCCTGGAGGGTAACACCGGACTTTCTTAAAGCATAGTTATATTTAGTCCGACTGTACTTTACCTTGTGGTACTTTGTTGTACTTGTTGTTTTACTCTGTTGATGGTAGTGACTCATGTGTCTCTCTGTGTAGAAATGGCCCAGCTGAGCAGCTATGACAGCGGGAACCCAGAAACCCCAGAGACCGACGACTCGGTGGACGTGAGCACATGAACAGTCTCCGATAAAGAACAGTTTGAAATATTTGAGTTTTGAAATATGATCTTTTGACTTTTTCCTCTTTTTTGCTGTTTTTCTCTTCAGACTCGAGGAACCACAGTTCCAGCTGCACCGACTCCAAAAACCAAAACACCCAGAGAGGAAGACTTTGAAAACATCAAGCTCATCAGCAACGGGGCTTATGGGTACAAACACACGACGACAGCTCGCAAAATATTCTCTACCATTCGAAGTAAAACCTTCACAGAAACATTGATTCAAATGTTATCGAATATAAGAATATCTGTGGTTTCTTCTTTGTTGGTAGTGCTGTGTTTCTGGTGCGTCACAAAGAGACCCGGCAGCGTTTCGCCATGAAGAAGATCAACAAGCAGAACCTGATCCTGAGGAACCAGATCCAACAGGCCTTCGTGGAAAGAGACATCCTGACGTTCGCAGAGAACCCGTTTGTCGTCTCCATGTTCTGCTCTTTTGAGACCAGGCGGCACCTCTGCATGGTGATGGAGTACGTGGAGGGTGAGGCGTTTATTGTGCTGTTACAGTTTCAGTCGCGGTGGGAGGACTGCGTTGTCTGATGATGTTGTGGCGGCTCTCGTCTGTAGGTGGCGACTGTGCCACGCTGCTGAAGAACATCGGGGCGCTGCCGGTCGACATGGCTCGAATGTACTTCGCAGAAACCGTCCTCGCGCTCGAGTATCTTCACAACTACGGCATCGTACACCGAGACCTCAAACCTGACAAGTGAGACACACGTTTCCTCTTCCTGTTCCGTTTTTACAATTTTAAACTCAGGAAGCATTTTGAGACGTGCTCTTTCATGTCCTCTCCTCAAGTCTTCTCATCACGTCCATGGGACACATCAAGCTGACGGACTTCGGCCTCTCAAAGATCGGTTTGATGAGTTTGACCACAAACTTGTACGAAGGACACATCGAGAAAGACACCAGAGAGTTCCTGGACAAACAGGTGACGCTCAGAGCTTCACCCTCCGGCTCCCTCCTGTGTTTTCATGGCTTCATTTTATTTCACCTCTCGCCTGTTTGTTGTGAGATTTCTCCCTCTGCTGTGTTTTAGATTAAATATTTATTCATCCCACAACGGGGAAATTTACATTTACACATGTATATATATATTTTATGTTCCTTTACATTTTATTTGCATAAAGATTGTGGTTGTTGTGACATGTTGCTGCGCCCTCAGCTGACCCTCTGCGTTGTTGCCCCCTCAGGTGTGCGGTACTCCAGAATACATCGCTCCAGAGGTCATTCTGCGTCAGGGCTACGGGAAGCCGGTGGACTGGTGGGCGATGGGCGTCATCCTGTACGAGTTCCTGGTGGGCTGCGCTCCGTTCTTCGGAGACACGCCGGAGGAGCTGTTTGGTCAGGTCATCAGCGGTGAGTCGATCATCTGCAGCAACAACACACCGAGAAACGGAAACCGTTCGTTCAGTGTAATGGATGTGTGCAATTCAAGAGAGGAGGATTCAGAGGATGATTGAACAATTTCTGAAGCCGACTCCACGTCCCAGAGGCAGAGATTCTTTTATTATAGATATCAAAGAGTTCAAAATGTTTGTGGTCTGTCTGTCTGTCTGTCTGTCTGTCTGTCCTGGTTCCTTCTCTCTCCTTCTTCTCTTTGAGGAAATCAATGATCGTAAACCTGCATCGATCCCTGAACGTCTCTGTTATGATCGTCTCAGTCCGTCTCTCCGTATTGATGCAGCGCTGATAAAGAGCCCAAGGCCTCAGCTGTGTTCTGTGTCTCTCTCTCTGATATTTATCACTGATTCTCAAACTGGAGATTAATGAGAAGGATGATGATTGAAACTACCGACGTGTGAGGCATGATGGGAAATTAACTAAAAACCAGATAATTCTCACTCCCGATTTTCTGTCTGAGTCTGAGCACTTTATTATTTTGTTCATGGAAGCACGTGTTCGTGATTTTGTGTTTGTTTTAGATGAAATCATTTGGCCAGAGGAAGAGGAGGCTCTGCCTCAGGAGGCTCAGGATCTCATCTGCAAACTGCTGAGACAAAACCCACTGGAGAGACTGGGCACAGGTAACACACACACACACACACA